TCCACCCCTGCAGGGCCAGCCAGTGTCCCCTTCCCTCTCTGTAGGGCCAGGTTGGGGCCTGGCTATGCACCCTTCCCTCTTCAAAGTGCCATGTCAAGCTCCTTTCCCCTGCAGGGCTGCATTGGGGCCTGCCTTCCCCCTGCCCCTCCTCCACACAGCCAGATGGTGCCCGCCATGCCTGCCCAGGCACCAGATTGGGAACAGCAGCTGGAAGCAACCTGCAGACGGACCGGGTGCTGCCAATCTGGTCTGCTGGGCAAAAATGTTGAGCACCATGATCTAGAGCTAGTCATATTCAAGATGCATTGCAAGTAAACTCTGATTTTCACCAAAACTCTGAAAATAATAAAATTAATTCAATATAATACCCCCCCCCAAAGCTAATAATTAAGTCAAGGATGTAGTTCAAGAATATTTCCTCCACATTACCCTAATCTGATTTTTCTTCCCCAACAAGAAAAACAAGATGAAATATCAACTCAGTGCTGCTCTGAAAGAAAAAGCTGTGATCGTTAGGTAATTAATTACTGTAGTCTTGTCAACATCACTTCTGGCTCAGTACTTTCATGCAATTACCTACCCTCTTCTACTGTTGAATCCAGCTGGGTAACTTTGACGGCAAGGCGATCAATTCTGTCTTGAAGGGAATTTGCTCTAATGTAGAAGTTGTTGGCCTCATTAAACAATTCACCAAATATATCTTCAGCATGTTTGCCTGTAGAGGAAAAAACACAGAGAAAGACATCTGTTAAAGATTTATAAAGACAGAGTGAACAGTGCTTCAATAGCATGATGTTATAATAAAGCACTCGAGTCACTGAATTACAGTATGCTACAGCAGCATAAGGCACATTAGAAGTTAAGTGCAATGTATTACATTCAAAATATCTATTGTTAAGTGCTATGCAGAAGTTTCACAGAAGTTTAAGGCTGGAAGGGACCTCATGAGATCATCAGGTCCAGTCCCCCTGCTCTAGCTAGGAAAGACTGCTGGGGTCAAATAACCCCAGCAATGTATGCATCCAGTCTCCTGCAAAATCAGGAAGATTAATATCAATACAAACATCCCCTAAACTTTGATTCAAAGCTTGATCAACCTGATCACTTTTCTGTTTAAAACCAGAAATACTCAAATTTTACCCTTAAACAGCTAAGATATTAACAAGAACATGCTAAGTGGTTAGTAAAGTCAGCTTCTGTGATGAAAACTTAAGGATAGCCCATGTTACTTTTTTTTTTTTTTTTTTTAAAGTAGATTCCACAGTCAATCCAAGGAATTTCAGAAAATAAACCACAATAGGCTTGGTGGGTTTTTTTAAAATCAATCATCTAAAATAAAGTGAATAGCAGAAAAGTGGCAGAATTATGTTAAAGTTAAGTTGAGCCCTTTAACTAGCCGTAACACTTCATAAGTGAACTACAGATGTTCAGAAAGTATCCCTTAGGCCTTGGACAGACATTATATTTGTATTGCTATATATGACCTTGTAGCAGTACAGAAAGGAGGTATACAAAGGTATACCTTGTGTCCCCCTCCCTTTGTAGCAGTCGCAGGGATCGAGAATCAGAGTGGCTTTGAATTCTGCACGTGTTCTTTTATCTTCCTCTCAAGCACCACATATTACCCACAGACAATACTGGGTTTTTGACTGGGATGCACTAGTACTTGCACAGGTATTCAAAAACTGCATAAAATTTCTGACAAAAAATCTTGCTCTTTTACTTAAGGTGATACCAGGTGACAAATTTGGGGTCAGGAAGCAATCTTCCCCACAAATCAAGGCAAAGAATGGGGGGCGCAGGGGAGAGGGATGGAGGGTTCCTTCATCTGAAGCGTGGGGATGGCTGTCTTCCTGGGATTATCTGAATACATATTTATTAACCATCTACTGTACTTCTCTTCTATTACAGTACCAGAACATGGCTAGTGCCCAGTCCCCCTGCTTTTACCTGTGGCCTACTGTAGGATGTTCTTCAGGTTTCTGATTCTGTGCCTTATAACCAAGTTGTGTGAGGATTAAGTGGAAAAATCTAAGAACATCTGGGTTAACATGGAAACTTTAAGAACTTAAGAATTTAAGGGTAAATGGTTTTCTCTGAAAGCCTGGGGACTGAATTGATGACACAGAGAGGCCATTTCTGCCCCTATATTCCTATGAATTTTGTAGAAATTAACTCAATGACAGAATATTCTCCAGAACCCTTCTCAAACCCATAACTGGAACTTAAGATTCCTTCTGATGTGTCTAGGTTAGAAGCTAGCCTGCAAAGTTCTTCAAGAAGAAAAAAACAGTATGCATGTGTAGGTGTCAGTCTCTCAGTTTTCTTAGAGAAGGCAGAAAAGGATTATAACAGATTGCTTTATAAATTATTTCCTTTTTTCATGATGAATAAAGATTTTATACTGTACCTGCTACTCTAAAATTCATGGGAGATAGATAATTAGCAAGCAGTAAAAAAATATACAAGCTACCTACAGTTGTGAGGATTATAGCTTCATATTAAAAGCCAGTTGACTGTGGTTTTTAAAGACAGCTATTTACAACCAGCATGTGGAAAAGATTAAATATTTATTTCCAAAAAGAGAAAAAAATACTTAATTCCCAAAGAATAACAAGGAATGTGGGCTGTAATAGACTATGGGGTTTGTTGTAATATTTCTGTGTTAACTGGGCTCATGTTGTAATTACACTGAATGCCTCAGTTTCCTTCTAGCTAACTAATATGAAGGGAAGGAGGGAGAGAATGGGTTAGAGAGAAAATAAAGCCAGTTTTCAGCCCATATGATAGAAGACACATCCATCTACAGAAAACTGAATGGCTAAGATAAGCATAAGAATGAACAGAAGAGTGTGACCAGGTGAGTGTATGGCTGAGGAGAGGGGTCTGGTACGGCTTTGTGGCTGCAAATAAAACAGTGGAGCAGTCTTTCAGGGTGCTCTGGGCTATGTAAGCTGGACTGGGGACAGAGTGACTGCTTAACCCTTTGGAAGGAGGTAGAGCACTTCTGGCTAAGTGGCTCTACCCCAATAAATACCTTTATTGAAAGAGTGGTCTGTTTACTATTTGAAACTTCAGTCTGCACTTGTTCTCCCCAGCAAGAGAAAGTCCTTCTCTCAAAAACAGAAGCTCCTTGACTCAGAGAATCAGGAAGGGTGAAGGTGAGGGACTTAAAGATCAGGTTCTCAGGGTGGGAAGGAACAGTCACCTATCCCCCCCCTCCCCACCCCTCGCTCTACAAGCCACACCTCAACAGGCACTCAGAAACCAGACAAGACCACTGACCAGGGTGAAAAACATTTTTTTTTTTAACTCTATAATTATAAAACATCCTCCCTTCACAAAATCTCTTCTGTCTCCTTATAATAGCTGTGATGCCATATACAAAGAAGTGCTTCTTCTCAGCACTTGTAAGAATCATTCTTCATAATACTCTAGTTGATAAAGTGCCTTAGAAGATATGCTCTGAATAATTTTGAGAAATTATTCTGGAGACCAGTGCTTAACATACAACAAGAATCACGATATGTCTCTCAAAGTTCTGCAGTATACTATATGTGGGGCATTTGCCTGTAAAGTCTTCATGAATCTATGACTGATTTCTACTAGATATCTCTGTAAAAAATCAACTGCAATTAATTCATTCTCTACAAAAGTCTGTATTAACGTATTTAATAAGTTGCCCCTGCAGCTATCTTCTGTAAGTAATGAAAACCATTAGTGCTATAACGAAAAAGAAACAAACCAATTATGCCTAAACCTATCTTCTTTTAGTAATGACAATACTTGAAATTTAAAAGAATGGTGCATCTTCCTTGTGCTTCAGACTACAAATATACTACTAGAATAAAGACACCTCAAGAAGCCATTCAAGTTAATGAGAGGTCTTCATGGTTTAGGAAGACAGTTTAGCATGTTTTTGACACAAAAGGCACATTTGAAGGCTTTGGTATTTAGGCTTCAAAAATAAAATCAACAGCATCTTATTCTTTCTTCCCATGAACAAATATCAAGTCAGAGATGAAAAGAATTGATTCTTCCCTATGCTTCTTTCTTGGTTTTATCATAAAAGAAACATATGAACTGATAGCTGTGCTGCTGAGGCAAAAGAAAGTTTCTTCTCTGTCAAATCAGTGGAATTTTTCAGTTCCTGCTCAGACCTCTCACCACTTTAGCTTCTTTTGCCAGTTTGGCTTGCACCTGTTCCACCCTCTGAAGCAGCAGCATCCGCTATATAGAAAGATACGAACATGAATTTAACTGAAAAGAGTTTTGTTGCATGAAAGCCAAAGTTACCGTGAAGCTATCAGTTCACTGACTGAAGAAAAAAAATTTTTACTTAAAATGTGTAAGTAACAAAACCATAGTTAGAAGGAAACAACATGGTCCACCAGATAAGAAAAAAGGCATCTGCCCCAGGATTTTTCTGTTCCCATTTATGAAGACTTTCTGTTATTATACAGAACTTTACTAGCTTGTGGCAATGAATTTCTCTACCTCTGAGAAATTAAACAAGCAGCAAACAGGTAAAAAGAAGGATGCAAAAAGGAGGATAAAGCTGGTTTCAAAATCTCCATGGCTCTGTCAAAATTTGCCATTTTGAAGATGCAGCTTGTGAGTATGATATACTACTAACAAACATAGATGACCTTTGCTAGCAGTGCTGGCTTTGGAAAGTCTTCGTCAAGACTGTATCATTTTTCACAGCCTGGAACTGAAGGAAAGATGTTTTCTTTTTGATTGCGATCAAAGAGAAAAACTTCCAATTTAGAAGAACAGCCTACCTTCCTTTAAGGAAGTCAAACTGAAGAAAGAAAAAAACTTTTTGCTCTTATTCTATATAATAGTCATTTTCTGGCACCTGAGACCCTGTGCACCTTTTAGACTGTCTTGCTAAAATTACATACCTTTCAGTACGTTAACTGACCACAGTGTGAAAGAACACAGTAAAATATCCAGAATATATGGCATGGTTCTTCCAATACATTTTTTAAAAATGTATACCATCAGGCTGAAAGGTGCTAATGGATGTGATTTGTTTGTAACTGTCTTAGATGTTGTCAAATAGTCATCATTTTGAAGTGAGCTTGCAAGGGCCCTGAAGGATAAAAGAGGAAGTAATGATGTGTGGTTATTGATCATCTAAGCTGAGGTCTGTAACCAGCTTCAATGCTTCCCAAAAAGTGGGTGTATAAATGCGCACCCACCCCTCCACCACTGCTGCACCATGGTTCTCTGTTTAGTGGCAGACATACAAAGAATCCTTTTTCTATACTGTGATCTTTTAGCAGAAGTAATGGCTCAGTATCTTCTTTAGATAAAAAGCTCTGATGCAGCAATGAAGAGGCTGCAGAACCACAAAGGGATGGTCTCCTCCTTGAGGTAAAAAAGTAGCCAATGGTGCTTCGGGTCTGATCCTCCCTATAAGATTTTGTCCCTTGTATTATTAAACTACCTGAATATTGAAGGGCTGGTGTTCAATTATGTATTTGAAATTCCAATACAATGCCTGGTGGATCTGAGCCAAAAATACCAGCATCTCTCAAGCCTGTCAGAAGTCATAGGTCTAGCAGAAGAGAACAAATATTATATGCTGCTCAAATCAATGCCTAAATTCTTTGCAGCTGCTCTTTGTTCATCAGGGAATGAGTCCAACTGGGCTTAATGGGTCACCAAAGTGAAGTGCTGTAATGGAACCCAACAGCTGAGCAAAGATTTTGTCACACAAAAAACAAATAGGAGGGAGGAAACAAAAACAAATAAAAACCCCACTTTTCTCTCACAAATATCTACTTTAGAGCCCTTTTTTATCCAGGGAAGCAGAAAGTGATGGCTTTGTAACCTTAGTTAACTCCAGAACTGCAAAGAGCAGCACAGAATCAACCAACAAATACTTATTTGACATTAATATGTGGTGTCTAGCAGAGTTATGATATACTACGAGTTCTAGCAGAGCCAAAATAGTCATCAATGTCAAATGACAGTACAGAAGTAGACTGCAGTTCTTAGCAAAGGAACGCGTGGTGCCAGCCACTGGTGGATGGGAAACTCAGCCTTGTTTAATTGTTGTAGTCTCAGTATATGGACACAAGAACATGTTGCTTAGGGTATGAACAGACACTTGCTCCTAGCAGTGCAAATTTCTGGGACAGTTGCTGTGCTAGAAATCTTCACAAGAGAGAGAGGATGTACAAACATTCTAGCCTGAAACCACCCTCACACCCCTAATCCCCATGCTTGTACATCATGCCTGAGAACACACCTAATCCATGGACAGCGAAGGCAACATTTGCTGCTCAATTCCTCCTAGGTGGAACGGAGTCAGGGAAAATTCATTGCCCCTTCCCCAGACTAAGATCACCCCGATCTAGGGAAGGCACATGGAGCACTCCTCTACCACCTGACTCCTCCCAATCCCTGACCCCCAGCAGTAGGGAAATGTACAGGCATTTGTTTCTGCACAGGAAACTCTCATGAAGGAGAGCTCTTCCTTGTTGAAAAAGGAAGATCTCTCTCTCATATCTGGGATGTTTCCTGCAAGAGATCGAGGCGAGGTGTGAATTTATAGCATGTTAGCTACCCTGCTGTAACTGGCTGAATGCATGTTCTTACGTCCATGAAAGATAGTGCAGGCTTCAAAAGTCAAGTAAATTACCTCATTTACTGTGGGAAACAGCATGCACACCAGCAGTCCTTTAGAAAAGCTGATGCACTCCAAGTTTATACCCAAGCTTACAGCACAGTAGCTTGTTCACATGCCCATACCCTTCAGCTTCTTTGATCTTTTCAGCATGCAAGCAGATCTCAGGGCATTTTTATACATGCTCCCGAGCTGCGCTTATTAAAAGCGCCTGGCACTGCGTTGGGTGCAGATGTATAAGTGGTACAGAGAGAACGCTGAGAAAACGGCAGTGGCGTGCCTTGCACTAAAGAACATTGAACACTTGTCCTTCTTAGCCCCTGCCACTGGACCTTTTGTGGAGGAGGGACACTGACAGAGCAGCAGTCCCTGTCATGGTGTCCTGGGGAGCATAAGCCTCTTCTTGAATGCCCGTTCCTAGCCTTAAAGAGGTATTTGGACAACTTACTCGTTCCTTAAGTGTACTCCTGTACCATTCCCTGCCAAGAAAAAAGCATTGAGAATACATTCTTCAAAAGATTCTCCATAGGGAAATATTTAAATGTAATGCTCTAAATATTTAGATGCAATTATTTTCTTTGAACACCAGTCAGCAAAGCATGGACTAGGCACAAGAGCTTAACAGTCACAAAAAAAGCTCAGTTTACTAGTCACTGCAATCAGACTTTCCCAATACATTTGAACTCTCAGAAATAACATCTAATGGGTTTGCTATATGATGTGTGAAGCCTAGACTGTTTACCAAAGGACTTTATACAGTCAAAATTACTTCATAAAGCTATTTGATGCCATTACTTCATGAAGCTGAAAGAAAACATTTCCTTTAACAAAACCAAGTTGGTCTCTAAGGTTATTCTACTTTCCTCAGCCATCATCTCTCACTCTGTTTACGTGTCTTTTTGAAATGCTCTAATGGGCCATGAGCCAGGAAGTTTTAATGATAAATTAACATTAATAAGACAAAAGAAACTAGCCATCTGATTCCAAGAGGCCAAGCAATCTACTGAACTGCACCCAAAACTGAAAAGCTGGCAACTCACAGCTCAAGTTCTAATCTTGGCTCCAGCAATCACTTGATGGAAACATAAGCACATCACTTAGGTTTCTGTGCTACTATTTCTACTATTGTAAACACTTGCTATTTTGGAAATATTTTGTTTGCAGAGCTCTTTGAAGACATGGAACAGCACTTATACACTGAAGTTCAGGTACTTACTTAAACTGCTAAGTTGCCGTATAATAGCAGCAAGGGTACTGTTGGTTACACATTCCAGTTCACTGGTAATTCCTTCAGGCAGAGCTCCTCGGCAGAGGTGCCTAGGTTCAATGTTCCTCTTTACTAAAGGCATGACTCACAATCTGCAATTTAAAGAAAAACCTGTTACATGGTTCATACACATATACAGCATTGATAAATCCATACATAAATACTATCCCCTTTTCCAATGTACATTAGATCATTAGAACAGTTTCTTTAATATTTGAGTGCATTCTGGAATAGGCAAAGCCTAGAAAATAGAAGAATGACAGATCTCTGCACCAAAGATTTTAGAATCTAAATTATGTACTTGACAGACAAATGAGGATCTAACACGCAAGAAACATGCCAAGGAAGAAGCACATGTAAGTGACAAAAAAAACATGACAGATTTAGCTAAAGCATGTAATCTTTTTTTTGGCTTTAATTCTAAATCTATTTGTTTTTCTAGGTGATGTAGATGTGTTTTAGGAGTTATCTGAACAAAATAAGAATGCAGGTTTAACAGATTTTGGAAGGACACTCCAAGCATGAGATGAATAATTTGCAGACAAAAAGAGAGAAAGCATGTGGCAAACCGAAGAGGTCTGTGTAGAATATACGAGAGACAGAGGCACAGATGGCTGAGGGCTTCATGATATGGGGCTGCAAACGTAACAGCAAGAAAACTGATCTTGCTGGACAGTTTAATCGGGAATCAACAACATGACTCAAACGTGGAGTGAGAGATGATATACAATGTATGTTTTTAATGTTGATTTAAACTTCGATCATAGTGATGCATGGGAAAGCAAGAGGAATTTGACATGGACATTTTAGAGATGAACAGAGCAGAATTCAGTATTTAAAAATAAAGAAAATTAAGAGTGGAAGCAACTAGTCAAGGCAGGTTTTGATTACTATATGAAAGAATGATTTAGCTTGGAGAAGGAAAGTTTTTTTTTCTTTAAATGGAATAACACTGCATCCATATGCTATTCAAACATATACTGGTATATATGTTCAGATTCATCAGAGCACTGATGTAATCTAGAATGGTACATAAGGTAGGCAGGCTAGGAAAAAACAACAAGGCAGGAGTTTATTTAAAGCATTTAATTCAATAAACCTTTCAACTGCTTTAAATTAAAATCTAAATGGGCAAAACAGAAACAAACAGCATTTCTATTTTCAAAACAGTACTATAGAATAATTCTAACTAATGATTATATATTTTTTTCTAAATAAAACTTTTAATGTATCAAGATAAGAGGAAAATATTTTAAATGCAGCTTACTAAGAATTTAGAAATCTTTATATAAATATTTCTCTTTTAGCTGAATATTTAGAACTATTTTGTTTCAACAGGATCTTTATAAAAACCTATTTAAAGCTATGGTAAAGACCTTAAATTTTATTCAAAGCATCTCTCACTGTCCTCCCAAAGGCATAAAATTTTTAAAATATTTTATATTTTAAAGCTAGTTCAGTCTGGTAATTCCTTTAAATCTGATGTTTAAATTAGAAAAAATAAATGATAAAATTAATTTTTACTCAACAGAAGACCTCTTGAAATATTTTTTATTTCTGATTGATGTTTTCAAATTCCTTTAGGACTGGATTAGCTTTAAAGGCATTATTTACTATACAAGTTTATTCATTTTTGTGAAGTCGATCTATAAAACATAACATCTGGACATTTAGAACTGCCAAAATATATCTTAGCAACAGCCCATTTTGTATAGGGCACAACATACTATTTATGGAGAAAACGAAACTCCTTATGAGGAACTGGGTTAGAAAGAAGTAACATTGAAAGTAGTGGAAAATAAATCAAAGAGGAGCAGAGATCAATGGTATAAACTAGGGATTCCAAATCCTAAAATACACACACACGCAGGCAGTCAGTCATGTTTTTCTGAAGTCAAGTAGAAGGTAGGGCAGGGTAGCATCTTTGGGACTAACTGGGTCACAGAGGT